GAAAGTACCTGCATCAGTGGAAAAGAATGAGCTTTGTTTCTTGGGAATGTGGAGGCTTGCATCTCTTGCAGCCTGAGTTAGATCTTAGTTTTATATCTATATAAACGTTACTGGAGAGACTCCTCATGTGGAGCAGTGGCTGGGGAAGAAATTGCTGTTAAAACAGCAGAAGCTGGAATCATATGTAAAACGCAGCTTCTCAGACTTCAGTGCTAAACCATAACACAAGATGGCAGTGCATGTCATCACTTTGGCAAGGATCTCAACAAATTGAGACTTGGGTTGGGAAATCTGTTTGGTTTCACATGGGTGAATATTGTTGCAGATCATACCTTCGCTAGAGTTGGAACGCTTTAAAAGTATTGAGATTTTTAATGGTGCTAGAAAACTCATAGCATTTGTTTTCACTAGGAATTAGATAAGAAAGTTGGCTTTATTCACTACTAACAAAGCAGTTTAAAGAGTGACACATGAATATGACTGCTTTTCTTTTTTTGTGAGATCATGGGTGAAGACAGCAGAAGTTCTGCTTTGTGCATTTGAGGAATTATGTATGTATTTGTAATGTCCTTCAAAGATATTTGCCATTGCTCCATTGTGGTGTGTTGGTATATGTGATGTGCTGCCACACTCTAAACAGAAAGCACTAAGAATGAGTCTCCTTGAATCTGATGTTGTGCACCTTGAGGAGAAGTTAAAGGCAAATCATACTTTCATATAATAATTTCATAATTAAGGGAAGATAATCATAATTAAGTCTGGGATATTTGAGGGGAGGTTGTAGCCAGGAGGGTTGGTCTCTTCTTCCCAAGCAGCCAATGACATGTAAGAGGTGATGGCCTTGAGTTGTGCCAGGGGAGGTTTAAGTTCAATGCTAGAAAATAATTTATTCACTGAAAGGGTGGTCAGGCACTGGAACAGGCTGTGAAGGAGATGGTGGAATTACTATCCCTGGAAGTATTCAAAAAATGTGACACTTAGGAGCATGGTTTAGTGGTAACGGTGGAATTACTATCCCTGGAAGTATTCAAAAAATGTGTGGATGTGACACTTAGGAACATGGTTTAGTGGTAATGTGGCAGTGATTGGATCAAGGTTGGACTTGATGATTTGTGAGGTCTTTTCCAACCGGATTGATTCCATGAGTCTATGAAAAGTACTGGCTTCAGTTCTACCACTTTGTGGCCTTGGGCAAATGCATTAGTTACTGTTACTCCATTCATTAAATGGTTTTATTAAGGATTTGCTAAATTATAAGCTTCTTTCTTAATGCCTAAATTAAGTATCTATGTGAAGTCTATTGAGGTACAACTTATTGGAAGCATAAATCATCAAATCATCCTCATTAGTAATTGTGTGGTTCAGATACAATACATTTCAAGCTAATTTTGAGTAGAGGAGACCTCTGTAAATGATACATCATGACTAAGTTAAGAGTTCTCATGAGAGTTGAAAGGGGAAATAATTCCAAGTTTGATAGTGGCCTGCTTTGATAGCTGTGGTGTAGCTTATACCCCTGTTCCTTACTGACTTGAACGTGTATGAAAGATGGAGTCTGAGTTCTGGAGGTGGCTGGTGACTTATCTCTTTTGTGCCTGTCTGCTGATACTGCTGCTGCTGAATCTGACTGGGGGTGTGGTGCTGTGAGGCATTTCCTTAATGGAAGAGGGCATAACTGCACAAAATGTGTCTATCTTGAACTGTGTTGATTTTGGAGGCTCTAAGACAACTCTTAAACAGGGATGTCTTATTTCTGGTTGGCATTCACTACTGCTGCTTCCTGAGGTAATGTAACTGAGAGTTCAAAAATCTTCAGCATGTCTTTTTGGTGTGGCATCAGTGGTACCTAAAACTGTGTAGCTGAGGTGCTGTGTGCTGGCAGCACAGATCTCACCGTAGGCTGAAAAGAAGATTGATGTGTTAAAAATGAATTCATATAAGTGGCTGTTGAGTGTGTTGGTGTTTGTTGTGCTCAGTGGTGTTCAAAAAGGCTTTGCCAGTTGCCTTCAGTTTCAGAGGAGGATTAGCTTACCTTCACTTTAGTATGTTGTATCATAATGGAGAGGTATAATGGTTACTGGAGTAAATGTTTACATTAATATTCACATTTTCACACATCTCCAGTACATATGAAGGTGTGTGACCTGCAATTGCAGAAGCTATTCTAAAAAAAAAAATCTCTGCTTGCTCTGTTATAACATACATCTGAGCAAGATTAGGTGTGTGGTATCCTTGTTGTCTTTGGCTCTTTCTGTTTAAATCTCCAGGAAATCTGAAGACTCAAACCTTTGCTAGGGGAATTCTCTGAAGTGAAGTCACAGAAGTGTTGATTTGAGATTCTCCTTTCTTCTTCCTGCCCACCAGAAAAGACTTCTAAGAAGAATTCCAGTTTTCCAGAATTTCAATGCCTTCCCAATGGCCAACAACATGTCTGTCAGCTGTTACCCTGTTTGTCACTTTGTTAATCATAAAAATATTGTATTTTGTACTGTTGCTACAAGTACCCAATGTAAGTGAACTGACATTGGAAAGATGTTTTTCTCTTCTGTTTTCTCCACTAAACAAAGAAGTAGCAATGCCAACCCTTTTTGAGGGGTGGGAGGGTGGGTGGGGGCTCATTTCTCTTCTTCACAGGTCTGTGTCTTTGGTTTCAGCTTTGCTGCTGCCTTTAGGAGAGTTAAGCCCCTTCTAGCTCAGTGCTTAGAGATTTGAAAGAAACTCATTGATGCACTCTGGATCTACATATAAACATGTTGAAAAACATGCCAGGTAAACCTGTGTTTTCCTGTAACTACTTTTGAGTTTTTACTGGTTTGCTTATAGAGATCATAAGTGTAAATGGGATTTTAAAATGGATGATGTAAATTTCTATCTCTCTAAAAATCCAAAAGAGTTATATTGATTGTGTCTTTTCTGATAGGTTCTTCTCAAGGTTGTTTTAAAACCTTCTACTAGTTTATCTCATTTTAGAATGGCTTGAAGTGGGTGTTCACACTTGAATCAAGGTCCATAGCCTTTAACATTGCTCTTTTATGAGAAATATGCAGTCTTTTTTTGTGTTGTTAATGGTGCCTTGGGCAGAGTTTCCAAGAGATCAGAAGGTGTGTAGTCTGGGTATTTCTTTAACCTACCTTTTCCTTCCAGTATGTCTGTGTTGCAGAAGTACAGCAGTCCACAAATCTGCATAGAGGGAGCTACTGGACACTTCTTTTCCAGAAATTGCCAAAGACAAACCCCCTGCCAGTGAGGAGCGTTTGGGAATCTCATATAAACTCTTAACCTCCCTTTCCTGGACCATTTTCTTCTGGCAGCTGAACAGAAAAGTAAAATGAAGATCTCTGACAGTGCTGTAATACCCTTGGGCTGACAGTTCCAGACTCATGAACTGGCAAGGAGATCATGACAATGTAATGTAAGTCAATAGTACTTACATCCAGTTTGCTGTCAATGAAGAGAGGAGGCAGTGGGCAGGTGCAATGTCTGTGAAGAAAGAGACATGTAGTATTAAATGGAAGAATAAATAAAAATCTATACTCATGTACTCACAAATAACTACCACTGGTACTGCACAAACTAGCATGCATTCCACGCAAAGTATGTCACTCAACTAGCTTACACAAGTTTGATTTTTCTGAGGGAAAGTTGTCTGGGCTTATTTTCCATTCTGGTTTCCCTTATCAGCCTGTTCACTCAAATCAGGTTGCTACAATGGGCTTCTGCTGGTTTAGGGGGAACAGAGGAGTTGCATGCAGGCAACATGATATTGTCCAAGGTTGTTTTGCTTGTGGCTGAAATACAAGATTTGAATCCAGGAATTTGGAGTAGGAAAGATGCAATGCCAAACTCATTAGACCAGATGAGTGTATTGCTGCCTGTTGTTGCTTCAACAGACTCTTCATGCTTCAATCCACTCATCTGTGTCAGCTCTTGGGAGACTGGTTCAGCTGGAAACCTATAAACAGCAAAGCCATCTTCTTCCAAAAGTTAAAAAAACATAGGAATCAAGTCGCTTGAAGTCAAATATTTGACCATACATACCTTGTCTCATACTGTCTGTCTTCAAGACCTGATAAAAGTTTTTGTCCAGCTATTGCTTGACGACTAAATAAATTCCACAGTATTGCTAAAGGCAGTTAAATTGAGGTTTTCATGGTTTTTTAGATGGTTTGTTTTGTATTAAATTGAGGGCAAATTAGATATAACCAACTTGCAAGAGGGGTCCTCTCTGGACAGTCTTAACAGAATAACAGGGAGAGTGAAGTTTTAACATTACATCAGCCTCTTCACTTACATGTGTTGTTTGTATCAGGCTATGAGCTCTTTGCTAAGTGAAATTTCACTTTGCTAAGTGAAATTTCAAGGCTGGAAGCAGAGCCAGAGTTGTGTAGACTTGCTGACTGAAAGGTGTGATGGGTAGAAGTATTGAAAATGGGAAGGGAAGTGCACCCTGATAGCCTAGTACCTAACATAGGAACAACACTGTCACCTGTATCCTTTAATGCAAGGTCACCTCTAAGATTTCTTAATTGAGTGTGCTTTTACTTTCTGTAACAGTTGCAGATAAAGTCCTTGTGTTCTAGTTAGTAAGTAAAAAAACTTTTCCTTTTGAAGAGAGCAGTGAAAATGCAGTTTGCTGGCATTTGTCTTATATGGGCCTTCTACCTTTTCCTTTTTCTGCCATCAGTCTGTCTTAAAAGCTTTAAAAGGTGATTTCTCTTTCCTCTTAGTCTGAGTTCTTGTTTGAAAAGTCCATTTGAAGAATTAATGAACCTTTTCAGTAATGTAATTGTGGTGCATGTCACTTGCCCAAGCCATTTTGTGGTCTAAAGTTAAATTCTTTCTTTTATTCATTCTCCCCAGCTGCCTGTGACCCTTTTTGTCATTTACATTGGTCATACTTGCCTATTTCCCCAGGTGGGGAAGCTTTCTGAAGGCAGTCTTGCAGAAAATCTTACCCTTTCTGTATCATGAGTTATGCTCCTTGGGTCAAAAGGCATGAAATTGTGTATTGACTGGGGGAGGGTTATTAAAATAATAACAGTAATAAAAAATTTGGGACTGCCTGCAGTATTGAAGTGTAATTCTGGGAGGAGCTGGCTTAATAAACTGAATGGGTAAGAGTAGAATTGCAAAGTAAAGGGCTTAAGTCTGTTACCCGATGCTCCTTATTCTGAGAGCTTCTGATTAACAAGAAGCAAAGTAATTCACTGAATACCCTGTCAGAGAAAGCTCCATACTGTCTTCTCAGCTTCTCCATACTGTCTTGGTGCTTTTTTAAGTGGTACAAAAGCATAACAGGTAGTTGAGAACTGGTGGAAGAGTTATGTAAATGCATGTATAACATCATGAGAGGTTTCAGATGTCTATTAAATTTGCTGCAGAGCTACAGCTGGGGATGTAATGCTAGATAAGGAGGTTAGTGGAAATGCAAGAGTTAAGCAGGTCAGTGTACTGATTGTGCAGTGTGAGAGTCAGTCATCTTGCCACATCAGGACTGTTAATCTCTTCCAGATATTTCTTCATTTCAGTTCACATAGAGACCACCAGTTGTGATCATTACTGTAATCACTCTTCTGAAATCCACTTTTAGCCCATCTTACCAATTGGTCAATCCAGATTTGTCACAGCTGAGTTACTGGCGAGAGTTGGTGTCTTCTCATGTGGTCTAAACTTTGTATCTTTTTTGGTCACTGTTAACCATTATAGCCTGATTTTTATTTTTTTTTCTCTTTCCTCATGCAGATGCCTTTTTGGGCACTAATCTACACTTGTGCAACAGGAGTGTCATCGCTGCATGCCTTGGAACATTTTAGGCGTAGGAGTCAAGGACTTGAAAGGATTAGGCACTGGCAATAAATTTTGGCAGTGCCTTGGACTAGGGCATGCTAATCTGTATGATGCATGCAGATAGAATAAACATGGAAGAGAAGTCTTAAAAAGTTGAAGTCATTTCCATACAAAGGTATGTTTGTCCTTGGGCTGGAATCCTTTAAGTGATGTGGTATGGGGAGAGAAGGAGGTCTGGCATGACCTGCTGCCAGTTCCCTTTTCTCATACCAGTAATATATGACATGGTCTGGTGATGGGGGTGAAGCATTTACTAAAACCAGTTGGAACTCAAAATACAGTTACAGATTGCAGTCTTCAGGCTGACTGGCTGACTTGTTTATTGCACAGTTTCTTTAAAAAAAAAATAACCCAGCACCTCATATGTATTTAGATGGGGAGATTATCATCTCTAATTTGGATTTGGTTTTGATGTCAATGGCTGTTGGTGACTTAAGCAATTTTGAATGTTGCTGTAATACAGAATCACCCAAACAATAGTCACCCAATAAGGAAACAGTGCAGCTGGTTGAGAAATTGTGGAAGTGATAGTGTTTTGAAATGACTGTGAGGGAAAAAAAACACCACCACAAAACCTAATTCTTTTGGGTTATAGCCTGGAATGCATTTTGTGTATTAGATTGCAGGAGATAATGCAGCATAAGTATGAAAAACAAACATGTTACTTCAGTTACATGTGTAAATATTGATGCCCTGTTTTAATGTCATGATCTAAAATGGTTTTGGTTTTAAAGGTACCCTTGTTCTAACTGCGTAAGGCTTAAACATTGCATAGAGATGACCTACTTCCTCTTCAATTTTTTTTTTTTGCTGTTGTGGTAGTGTTTCATAGGCCTAAACCTCATAAGATGTGCCATTTCATGGCTGTGCTGAGCAAGTATTGTGCTCTGCACAACTTCAGATGCTGTATCTTGTATGATAGCTGAAATTAGCTCAGGGTAAATGAAGAAGGAAAAAATTGCTATTTTGAAGTCGCTTTAAAAAAATGATTTTGTTTTCTTCATTATAAGGTTTTTAGCAATTCATTTTTTCATTTTAATTTGATTTGTAAAGCATGTAGAAAAGATTGTTGTACATTTTTATACAAGGTTGTGCATCTTAGATTCTTTGGAAACCTGTTACTTACTTCTGGTGAAGGAATCTAATTTAATCACTTTCTTAAATGTATTTTGCCCTAGCCAGCTGACAGTATTTCTGGTTTATTGTGGTCTATGCAATCCAGTAGCTCCATCACTGCACTGAGAATTGGTCTTTTCTAGGAGGATTCTTGATGAGGATCTGAACTGTGGTGGAGATGTCTCCAGGCTGACGCTGGTGTCTCACATTGATAAACAGCTGGAACAGGTGAGGCAGGAAAGACATGGTGCAACTACAGCTTGATTCCCATTTTACAGAAGAAGCATCAGCACAGAGGTGAAGCAGCTTTGCCTCAGAGCTACCTCAGCTCAGTACATCTCTGAAATGGAGCTGGAAACTGAACACTGACATTCAGAGACCCAAGTCTGTGGCTGAATTACTAGCCTGTCTTATGTCGTGAGGATTTAGACAAGAATTGTCACTTGATAAAGAAGAGGAGAAGCACTGTGCAGCATTATATTCTTGCTTTGTGGTGATTTTTGCACTATGTGTTCTCATCTATTTACTCTCACCACCTCCCAAATCATTACATTGATCCTTGCTCCTACAGACCTTGTGGCTGAAGTTCTCTGGAAATATCTGAAGAGCAATTGGGTTGTGTAAACAGTAATGTTCTCCTCAGGCTTTTTGACAGCAGAATTTCAGAGTTACTCCTATGAGGCTTAATTTGTTCAGTTAAAATGTTATTTTGTGTGTGCTTTAAGTACCAGCATCGTGCTGTAGTGTTTCTTCCCATGTCTGAGCCGTGACATCACTGAAAAGGGATGGAGTGCCCTGTGCTGTAGTCAGACCATGTTGTCAGTAACCTTGGTGGGGTCAGAACACAGTAAAACTCCTCATTGTTCTCTAAATAGCATTTGGTGAGAGGAAGGAGGAGGGGTCTAGTGTTTCTCTCTTATTCATTCCTGCCACAATAACAGTATGTCCTCTGCTGGAGGAGGCAGTCACTGGGATGGACAGGAGCTGTGGATTTCCTGGTCTGTACTAATCTTTTGGTAGATTCTCATAAATCAAGAAGCATGTATCTCACAGCTGGGGCCAGATTGCAATCCAAACCCTTAGTGCTCAGTTTTCTGTGGATGGGTCTCACCTCTTGCTGTTGGCTTCAGTAAATCAGTTTTTTGTTTCACCATGTCAGGGTGTGGGGCTGATCTGGTTGCTGTTTTCCATCATACATGACCAATTTCTTTCTGGGAATAGGAGCTGTGAAGTGACCCTAAAACTGAGTATAATTTTTGTACTTCTGAAGTAATGGCAGTTGTTATTAAATACTTCTTTTGATCTAAAGACCAAACACCCTGAAAGGTGTTTGGTCTTTAGGTCATGGAACAGGCCTGTGGGGGGAATTTTCATCTGAAAGGTGTCATGTAGAAGTTTAGCAGAAACATTTAGTAAGTGAAGTGATGGGAACATAAGTGCTATTTAATGGTGTAGGGTTGCATTTGAGATCACTATTGCATGGACTGGCTACCTGCTGCAGTATCCCCATCTGATGGATGAGGAAGTAAATCATCTGGCTTCCATGTTTTATGCCTAAAAAACTAAATGTGGAAGGCCTCAGGTGTTCAGCTGTGGTATAAATGATCTGCAGCAGTGATTGTGGACTGTGTAGAATTGGAATGGTTTCTACCTGCTAGAAATGAATTTCCAGGAAAGCACATGACTTACTTGGTTCATTTTTGCTAATAGAAAGAAACTGAGAGCTTTCATCAGCAGCAGCAAGTTTTGCATTGAATGAGGATCCTTGTCTCATAGCAGATGTACTTATTTGCATGGGAGTGAGCTAACTTCCTATTATCAGCTCAGAATGTGCTCATCTAATTCAGCCAGTACATGCCATTTCCTGCTGAGAAATGTAGAGGGAGCTGAAATAATCTGTGCAAACACAGAGAAAGGATAACAGGTATATGGGAAGAGCTTGGCCAAATATGTTTAAGCATCTTGGTCTGGTGGGATAACTTCTGATAGAATGAGAAGTTGCCCTTAAAGCTATTTAATGAGAATTCACTATGAAATTTGACACTGTCTGGAAAAAGAAATTACCAATTTTCTCATGTCTTGGTCTTCAGGTGAGAAAATAATTATCTTTATAACCAACAAGAAAGAATATGGGATGCTGGATTTTTGTAAGGAGTGTGTGGTACTTTTGGATCACTGAAGAGTTGCCATTATCTATGCAGAAGATTATCAGTCATATCACTTGCTGTGTTTCAGCTAAAAGTGGACTTTGCCAGGATTGTAAAAGATACAACTATTTTTAGTAGTGAGAGACCCAAAGTTTAACTTGAAAAGTTAAATTGCCTTTTCAGGGTAACGTTCACGTAGGTGCAATTTGGTTTGCCCAAGGCAGAAGCTTGGTTACATTGGATACCGAGCTTTCAAACCATACTACATCTGAATTTCGCTGCTTGGAAACAAAAAGAATTTGTGTGGTTCTTGTTCTTTTGGAGTGTGGAAGTTATGGGCTGCTTTTCCTCTAGGATGAGTCACTGAAACACCCCTGCTCCCTTTTATGGTGGCGTTCTGACAGTCTCTTGTTGGAAAAGCCACCCAGGAAAGGAAATACTCTGCCTGTCAGAGTGATGTGGCCAGTACAGAAGTTTGTGCTTTGTGGCCAAGTCGGCTTCCTGTTTTATGTTCACTGTAGTCTTCCACTGCTGTTTTCCATTGCCAACACTAGATGTTTAGGGATCAGCATCAGGAATATCTTAAATATTGTCCAAATTTTAAATAATTTCCAGGTTTTTGTCCCTGGCATGTCATGAGTGGTGTTTCAGTAGACATACCTCAAAGCACAGATGAGGTTTTTGAGCAGAATTTTGCTGCACTCTCCAGGGAGGAGGGGGAAAAAAAAAAGTGGATTTTAGTGTACCAATAAAAGTGCAAATGTATTTTGATACTATTGTTGTCAAAATAAATGTGACAACCAATGGATCCTCAAAGAAAGTTCTCACTCATTAAGGTAATTAGCCTGGGGTGCTGCTCGCCAGGAACTGATTAAAAAAAAGACTCGTTTTACAAGTCTGGCTTAAATTTTGATTGCACTGCTCCCTGTGTTGGTTAAGAAAATTAATGTTTAGCAGAGTAAAGACTGATAGCTCTAGGGAAGGGTCCTGGAGCAGCATCCTGCTCCTCTGGCAGTGCTTTCAGAAGACACGAGGTGGCAGTTGGGGAAGGTCTGCGCCTGGTGGAGGGCTGGCCACCAGTAATCAGGAACTGGCATTTTGCAGAGGTCTTTGGCTTCCCTTTCAAATTTTGATTCTGTATAACTCTGTCTAGTTTGACACTTCCAGGAGACAGGCTGACACCACACCAGTGGCAAGATGCCACCCACTGCCACCCTGCTTTCTGTGCTGGTACATCAGCCTGACAGATGTGAAGTGTGGGCTGCCAGCTTCATGGGGATTGTGGTTTCTAGTGAGCCCTGAAATCTGGCAGGGTAGTGAAGTCTAGCACTCATGTTATAGCTTGGCCATCCTTCTAGATACTCTCTAGCACCTTTGCAATGCTGTTTGCAATAGGTGATGTGATCATGGAATTGGTGGTTCAGTTTTACTGCGCTAGAGGGTTAATGACTTTCTCACTTGAATACTTAAAGGCTGGAGTTTTGGTTCTGAAGACTGCATGTGTTGCCATACTTGAAGAGATTTGGTCTCTTTAGTCAGAGGTTGAACCCAGGAAAGCTGTGTAGTAGGAGTACAAAACAATAATTCAGGGCAAAAGGTACTTGGGAAGTTCACCAGTCCAGCCTCCTGCTCTAAGCAGGATCAGCTTTGAGATGGGATCGGGTTACTCTGGTCTTTACCTGGTTTGACTTTGAAAACCCTTTAGAACAGAGAATGAAACATCTCTGGGCAATCTGTTCATTGATTTATTTGTAGTAAATTGGCATTCTATTTGTTATTATTGTTCATTCACTTTCTAGCCGTTAGACTCATCTTTCATGTATTTTTTTTTACCAATGGAGACAAAGCTTATTTATGGCTTATGAGCAAGTTCTGGGGAGAGAATGGGGGTTAACCCATGCATTTCAAGAGTTTCAAAGTGAAACAAAACAGCATTGCCATTGTGAAGCACCTGGTTTACATCAGCCTACAGATCATGTTCCTTGGCAGATTTTTGCACTATGTGACAATAATGGTGTAGGCATTGTAATTGTAGTGTTTGTTTGTGGTGGAGTATTGTATTAACCTGGCATGTGATGTGATATGTTTGTTAACACTGTTTCAGGCTGCTTTGTTGATGGGGAGCCTTGTTTTTTCATTTTGGCTGCATCATACTTGTGTCAGGTCTTTCCCTTTATAACCTACTCAAGTTACATTAAGGAAATAATAAATAAATGGCAATGGGCTTTCCCTAGCTGAAATTAGCTGTTGACCTTAGAGTACCATAAACTACATCTGCAAAAAGCCCCTGCCGGTTTTCCAGGTGGGCTTGAGGAAGCCTCTGAGTGGCTTTTTGCGAGTTCATGTCCGGAGGAGGAGTGGTGGAGATGGTGTGAATGTTGTGTGTTTTGCTGCAGGAGCTGCCGATTGCTTGAATGAGTGGACTTCCTGATTCAGAGGTAAAGAATGAATGGTCTCTCCTCACAGTTTCAAATTTATTATAAAAGGTACTTTAGCAGCTCGTTGGTGTCTGCAGCCCCGCACAAGGGCTGCCTAGACAATTGTTTCCACTGCTTGAGAAAAAGTCCATCTGACGCACTGATAGGAAGTTGTCACTTTCATTTCATTAACGTGAACATCTCTGAGTGCATGTCTGAAGAAGGCTTGAACTTCAAAAGCTTTATTGTCCAAAGGCACAGCCTGTTACTGCTCAGCTCCCTCCTGCTGTAGCACTGGCACTAATTGTATAGCTGGTATTTGATTGTTGCAGCAGTCTTGTCTTAGTGCTTGATCTTGCTTTATTTTAAAATCATAATTAAAGCGGTGGTTTTCTGTATTTGCAAGGTAGCAATGAATTTGCAACATGTAAAAGAACTTGCCTTGGCTGATAGCTGAGTGAAGGGACCTTTGCAGAGACCTGGTAATAAACTGATGTTTTACTTAAATCCATAATAATTTCCTGGTTTATTCTCTTCACAGACCTAATATACCTGTCTGTGTTTTTCTTTCAAGTTGGCTATTACTGTACTCCACTGGAAGGTGCCCCTGTAGGGGCTTTTCCCCCCTCTGTTTTTTTTCTAGTGGTTGCTCTGATGTACTCTAAGCACTTGGGGACCTTTTAGTATTAGAGTATAATAGGATTAAATTTGAGCCACCAAATCTCTGATGTCAGCTCTTTGGTAATAGGTGAAGCAATGATGTTATCAGCTTTTCTGATATGGTTTAGAGGGCAGCACTGTGTTTGGCCCCATCTTGTTCTCATCCAAGACATTGCTGTCTGAAAACATACCTTTAGAGTTGTCAGCATCTGACAGAGTAGTGTGTAAGAACTGTTCGTGCAATTAAAATCAACATTTTGGGTATGCATTGTTATGTCTTCTGTCTTGAAATACAGCAGCTTTTTAGCTTTGG